ATCAAAACTCATTTTCTTAACTGTTTAAATTAGAAGGTCTTTTGCGTGGCTAAAACTTTATTGCTGCTACCTTGAATGACCATAAAGGTTTGAAAAAAAAAAGTAAAAAGTGAGCCTATTGGTTTTTCTGAGAAGTTAAAAGATAGTTTTACAGCGTTTTGGATAAATATGATGCAGAACTCGATAAACGTTTTATGCAAAATGTTATATTTTGATGCAATTTTACCATTTAACCATCAAAAATTTGGATGTTAAAAAATGCGAGACCCTTGCAAAATTATATTAATGTCATTTCGATGAAAGTGTTTTTCTGGTAGCAAATAAAGTTGTTTTCCGGTAGCAAATAACAAAGGTCAGTAAAGAATTTTCATCCGAGATAATTTTGGAATGCCCGGATATAATTTTTGACGCTTATTTCAAAACTGCAATGAGATTTTTTGTAGCACATAAAGTTTTTGTTAAAATTCAATTATATTATAAAACGACTTTTTGTTTATTTGTTAATGCTACGACTGGTTAAAAATATTGTCGTAGTTTTTCATCTAACTTTTGTATGTATACCAGTTTAAGGATAGTTTTTATTTAGATTTTATGTGAAGTTATATACTAATATAATATATTAAACATAAGCTAAAATATCTCATTATTGTCTTATAACAATAATTATAGTATTATTTACAGTTTTTTAATGATAAAAGCATATATACAAATACACAGCTCTATCTTGTTTGCCACCTGGTAATTAAGATAAACCAGGGACGTTGCATCAAATCTGTACTGCTTGTTTAAATGGATTACGTGATTGGATAAACAAATATTAATTTTTAATGTCGTTTGAGGGAGCTGAGAGATCATCAGATTGTTATTGTTTTAGTATCATCATGACAAGATTCTCTGCAAAGAATAAACAGAGTATTACTTGTCCAGTAATGGGTTCAGCATGTAGGCCAGTGAAATATTGTGATGAATTGCCCATTTAATTTTCTTCAGATGAATTTTTTTTTTTTTTTAATTTTTTTTTTACATTTATTTTGCTGTTTAACAATAAATAATCAAACAAATATATATACAAGAAAAAAAAAATATGCCCGTAGAACAAAGAAGACAGTAAAATCTTGTCAACAAGCACCGTTTTTGTATATACAGTATAAAATATGCACTTTTTTTTTTACAATGATATTTATAAAATAAAGAGTTAAACAGACAGGGGCTCAATGAAGATTAAGATGGCAATAAGTTATCGCAATCTTTTCATAGAGCCCCTACATACACTTTCCATAGAATATAGATATTTAATTAAAAACCCTAATGGGCATAAAACTGCTGCACTGATCAGTAAATCAAATAAAGTTAAAATATAAAAAAAATAGAAAATAAATAAAATTCCTTGTTGAATCCTTTAGGCACAAAAGGTTCTCAAATTTTTAAAATTTCTTTTTTTATTAGAAACTTAAATTAACTTTATGACTTTGCCATACATTTAAATCCTTTTTGATAACTATTCCATATGTTTGGTCCTCGATATGCAACGCTAAATTCAGTATATTTATTAAAGTTTTGAGGCAGTTTATAAGTGTTACTTATATTTCCTCTTAGATAATAGTTTTCATTTATGTTTATTTCAATCTTGTTATTAAAGTTTGCGGGAGAAATATTATTATTGAATTGATACATAAAAATTAAATTCTGATATTTATTTCAAAAACACCCATCATTTTCATATCTTTTATTAAAGGTATAGCATGTTCACGCTAATTTTTATAGTAAATGATTCTGCATGCATGATTTTGTAGACTATAAATTTTTTGAGTTTTGATGGTTGTGTACTTGCCCATAATATGTTTGGATAGATGATGAAGCAATGAATTAGTCCAAAGTAAATTAGTTTAAGACTTTGTTTATTGATGTATGAGCGAACTCGATACATCATACCAATTGTGTTAGTGATTTTAGATAGAATATATCTTATTTGAGGAAGCCAGGATAATTTCTCATCAACAAGAGTTCCTAAGAATTAATACTGGCTTGTTTTTTGATTAAGTTATCATTTAATATAAGGTCAGGCAACTTAAGAGGAAGGTTTTCTTCTTATATTTTTTTGTGAAATAAGATATAGCTTGTTTTTTCTGTGTTAAGTGAGAGTTTGTTAACCCTAAACCAATTATTTACTTTATTTAGTTCAATATTCATACCTGCATATAATTTCTTGATATCACTGTTAGTAAGAAATAGATCTTTATCACCAGCGAACATGACTGAATTCAGTTTTAAAGATGCATTGTTAAAATCATTTATATAAATTAAAAACAAATGTGGACCAAGGATAGATCCTTGAAGGACTCCACATAAAACATTTAATACTCCAGATTGTATATTACACACACATTGTTTTCTATTGGTATGATGACTTTTAATCCAATTGTAAGTTTTATTAATTATACCATAGTGCTTTAGTTTATCTAACAGGATGGAGTGGTCAACTGTATTAAAAGCTTTTGATAAGTCTACAAAAACTCCTAAAGTAAATTTGTTTTGTTTAAAGCCATCAGTTATTTGATTAAAATCCAAACTGGTTTGGGTAAATAATTTATTTTTAGTGAAGTGATTATAGATTCTATTATAAATTACACGTTCGAATATTTTTGAAAATACAGAAAGTATTGATATAGATCTATAGTTGCTTAAGTCCGAATGTTCATTATATTTAAATATGGGGATTACTTTTGCTAATTTAAGGACATCAGGGAAAGTCCCAGATATTATTGAGAGCTTAAGTATATGGAGGTCTGCTTAGACTAGTTTTATAAAAGATAACTAAATCACTAGTTATTTCATCAAATCCTGGTGCTTTCTTTTTTTTAAAAAGGAAAAGACTTCTTCAAATACTTTATAGTTGGATTCCTTATCGTTCATGATAGCCTTATTTGTGAGTTTTAGGCAGTTTTTAAATGAATCACATGTTGCACTTATTTTATTAGCAAGATTTGAACCAATATTTATAAAATATTTGTTAAATTCTTTGGATATTTGCTCTTTACAGAATATGTCTGTATTGTTATATTAATTCTTTTTGGTAAAGAAGTTAAATTTATTTTTTTTCCTTCCCATAATCTCATTAATGATGGACCACGTTATCTTACTATTAGATTTGTATTTAACGATTTCATTACTGTAGTATTTATTTTTAGTTTTTTTAATAAGATTTTGGTAAAAATATTTATAGTTTTTGTAATTTATCTCATTATCAGTGTTTTTATTTTTTAGAAGTTTATTATAGAGTTTTTGTTTCTTTTTGGAGCATTTTATCAGTGTTTTATCCAGTCACGGGTTAGCAACTACTTTTGCCTTAATTTGTATGTCCTCTTGAGGAGAGGTTGCATTAAAGCAATCTAGGAATATATTCAAAATATTTTTGAAAGCTTCATCAGTTTCCTGACATCTATACACGTTGGACCACGTTTCTTGTTTTAGTCTAATTGATAATTCATTAGTATAACTTGATTTAAGATTGCGTTTTTTCAAATTTATAACTTTAGGTTTACAATCAGACATGGATTTTAAATTTCTTACTTTTATAAATATCAGAAAGTGATCGCTAATATCAGTCTTAAATATCCCTGTTTCAAAATCCATTTCCAGGTAATTCTTAATAAAAATATTGTCAAATACCGTTGCCTAAGTTTTTGATACTTATTAATTTGGCTTATTAAATGCTGACAAGACATTAAATTTAAGAAACATATCAAAAAAAGATTTTGTTTTTGGAAATGATGATAAAAATTTTCTTGAAGATGAAGTGGATAGCGATGAAGGTGCCATTAGTTTTACCCAGATCCTGATTACATAATTATTAAAATTAAAATTGAAATTAGTATAATTATTAGTTTTGATTTTAATTTTAATTATTAAAATAGTTTTTCTAGGAGATGGAAAGAAAAATAGTTACGATTTTTTAGTTTCAAGGTAAGCATTTAACCAGTAAAGTATGCCTTTAGGAAATGAATTTATATTTTTACATAGAGAATAATACGGTTTATTGATATGCAAGAAAATTGTATCCTCATCGAATATCAACTAAGGAGAAGTAAATAAAGTTGTTTATATTGTTAACATATGTTAAAAACAAAAAGAGGACCAAGACCAGAACCTTGAGAAACATGACACACAACGAATTTATTACATACTAACCTTAATCACAATTATTTAATGGTACTTAAGTTTTTTAGCTGGTTTTTAAAAAAATGGGATTTAGGTACGTATTGTCAGTATATTAGTATATTATTAGTAATTAATGGTAGAAAAGTTTATTAAGGTTCAACTATTGCTAAACCTTATCATTTTTATGTACGCCTAATAATATTTTCACAAAAGCCTTACACCCTATTGTCAGTTAATGTATAAATAAAAAATAGAATTTGATAAATTTTCTTATCTTTATATTAATAAAATATTCGTGGTCTTTAAAATTTATATTTTTATTTCGCATAAAAGTTTGCATTTAACTAGTTTGTGCATTTTTTCTAAACTGAAGTGTCCGCAATGTACTTTATTTACTAAACGTAATTCACTCTTTTTAATAAAACGTCATTCCATAAAATGCAATAGTAGTACACCAATACATCAACCATTTCGCAATTGTATTGGTTTTGAGAACCATTAACTGATGAACCATTAACGTCATAATAACGTCATTTACGTTGTTATGACGTTATCGAGTTAATTACAAATTCCTAGATAATATTTATTTATTATTTTAATTTAATTTGGAATATTATTAAAAAATTGCATTAGAAATACTTAAAAATACAAATTATATATATTCAGCTAAAGGCTAAAAACTTAAGTATGGATTCCACACATCGGTATTAGCCCTTACGTTTTGGCATTGGAAAAATGTATGCACTTGTTACACTCCTATTTAGTATACCAATTTTTTCTGGTCAAAATTTAATGAAAAGTTAGTCCCTAAAAATAAATCTTCTAAGAAATTACAACTAAAACAGTTTTAAAATTTTATTAACAAAGTGTGACAGAAACAAAACAAATTTCTATCTAAAGCAAAACTTCTAATTTTTAGTCACTTATTGATTAAATTAAAGATTTAGTATTTTACTTTTTTGTCTCTTACTTTTCTTCTTTATATTCGCCTTCGTCGACTTTTTCTTTATTGTTTTCTTCTTCAACAGCAGGCTTTTCTTCATTATTTGCTTCTTGATCTGGTTTTTCTTGTTCGTGTTGTTTTTGAATGATTAGCTTTTCTTCTAAGTTATCTTCTTTAACTACAGATTTGTCGCTTTTATTTTCAATTTCACCAATCGGATTTTTTTCTATACTTTTTTCTTCAGCAACTGGTTTTTCTTCACTATGTTCTTTACCTTCAACTGGTTTTTCTTCTGTATTTTCTGCTTCACCATCTGGTTCTTCTTCATTATGTTCTACTTTTTCAACTGGTTTTTCTTCTGAATTTTTTTCTTCAGCAATTGGTTCTTCTTTGCTATGTTCTTCTTTTTCAATTGGTTTTTCTTCTGAATTTTTTTCTTCAACAATTGGTTCTTCCTCACTATGTTTTTCTTTTTCAATTGGTTTCTCTTCTGAAATTTTTTCTTCATTAACTGCTTTTTCTTCACTATGTTCTTCTTTTTCAATTGGTTTTTCTTCAACAATTGGTTTTTCTTCACTATGCTCTGCTTTTTCAACTGGTTTTTCTTCTAAATTTTTCTCTTCAATATTTGTTTTTTCTTTACTATATTCTTCTTTTTCAACAGGATTTTCTTCTGTTTTTATTGTTTTAACCGTAAATTCTGTTTCTGCTGGAGTATCTTTGGCTTCTTTATTATTGTTTTCTTTGATAGCAACGTCTTCACTATTTTTAGCTTCATTTTCTTTGGCTTGTAATTCTTTAACATCAACTTCTTCGTTGCCAATGAGAACAGTCTTTACCTCAGCATTGTTACTCTCCTCATTGTTTGCCTTTGCCAAAGTTTCCACGTATTCTGGAGTATGGATTGATTTCTCTTCTATATATATAAAAAATATTCAGTTAATCACAAAAAGACTAAAAAGGAAACAATTTACATAAGTATTTAAATTATAAAATTATAAATTTTTTAATGCACAAACTAATATTATGCATTTATTTTTAGTTACTCGGAACTTGTAATAAATATATAAAGAAATAAAATGATGGAAATTATTTAGCTTTATTTAAAAAAACAAAACAATATTTTTAATTTTTAAAAGACAAAAAGAATTTAGCTTTAAACATTATAAATATTTTTAGGATTAAAAATCATTAATATTCATGTTATAGTTGTAAAATGGATTATTATTAAAAAAAAACGATAAAATAGTATTTTATATGAAGTTAGTTATATAATTAAAAAAAAAATAGTTAGACATACGAAGTTTTTCTTCTTTATTTTTGTGCTGTCTCTCGTTTTCATCGTTAACTTCTTCACTTATTAATAAATCTTGTTCATCATCTTTTTCGGTAGCAATATTTTTTTCCGGCTCTTTGTTTTCTTCGTTAGTTTCTTCTTTTGTAAATTCTTCAATTTCAATCTGTACTGGTTCTTCAGTTGAAAGTGTTTTTTCTTCAAGAGATGGCTATTGGAAAATTGCTGTTGTTAAAGATGCTAAAGAACTTATAAACACGCAGACATATATAAATTAAAAAAAAAAGTTTTTATATCATACTTCTGTTGGTTCGAATTCTTCTTGATTTGCCATTTTCTCAATATTTTCTCTAAACTTATATTCCTCTAGAGGGTCTTCTTCTTCGCTTTCTGCAAGACCCTCGCAATTTTCGTTTGGAAATTCTTTTTCTGTCTCCGATATAAAAAGTTCTTTAGCACACGGACCTTTAGTAGCTGGTTGCGGTTGGAATTTTTCTCGCGCTAAAAAAATAAACAAACAACTTTTTTTAATTTACAAGAACAAGTAAATGAAATTATATAATTTAATTTACTTTTTTGTAAACTTTTTTTGTAAATAATACTAAATAACTACTAAAGCAAAAAAGCAAAGTTTCAATTTTTCAGTGTGTGTGTGTGTGTGTGTGTGTGTGTGTGTGTGTGTGTGTATGTGTGTGTGTATGCGTGTGTGTGTAGCATAAAAGGTACACAATAAAAATATAGAGGACATGTTGTAGATGAGAATAAAACTTTCCTTAACTATAAATATCATAATTTCCTTAATTATAAGTATCACCATACACGATGGTAAATTAATAAAATCTCAACTTCTTATGTACTTTCCATTTTGTTACTTACTTTCCATTTTGTTCAAAAAAAGTTTTAATTCTTATTTTTTCCTTTTTCTAAATAAGTATTGTTGCTATTTTCAACTGTATTGTACATATTATGGCTCTTTAAAAAAATGTAACTTACCCTGAGACGCATTTTATTGACGGCTAAAGTTCTTAATTTGACAAAAGATAAATAATTTACCTTCTATAGGCTATATAAAACTTTTTATATTTTTTATATTTTTTAGTCTATAGGCTATATAAAACTTTTATTTTATATAGTATAAAAACGTAATATTTCATAAAATAAAAACAACCTGCTCTAATCAATTTTTTAATTTATATCAAAATTGAGCAAATTAATTTATTTAATAAAAGTAATTAGTTGAGCTAGTAAAGTAATATAATTACGTTTGTGCAACCCCATTGGAACACAGCATGCAAATGTGGTAAGAATTCCAAACACGAAAAGTTTTCCAAACGCTAACATTTTTACAAAAAAATACACTACGATACTAAAAGTTACTTGCGTACGAACACGTTTTTTCCTACTGCTTGTACTGTGGCAATGGTCTGAAATCTTTAGAACTGTATTGACACTTTACACAATAGAAATAACAGCGCGATTCTGAGACCTGTCAATTGATCACTTATCTTCTTTCATTCAAATTGATAAATCGATCGTATGTTGTTTTTGTGATAAAAAAACGTCGAAAAATAAATAATTTACTGTCAAGCGCTTGTTAAGCCTTCATCGCTTTTTGTTCATATTTTAAAAATATACAGAATAGAAATTCTTTTTTTAAGAATTTTTTAAAAATCTTAAAATATTTTAAAATTATTTTTAAACAAAACAACATTTTTGTGTGCTTTTAATTTAATTTTTAATAATAAAACCTTTTTAAATTATTACTATCTAGGTTATTTTTCAAAAATTGATAACTTTGAAAATTTCGTTTACCTTATTTAAAATAAAGTGTTTATTAAAATTATTATTAAACAATAAATAAAATCGGTACACTCCCATGATCCAGTTCAGAGAAAAACAACTCAAACAAATTTGAAAAAGATTTGAAAGTAGTATATCGTCGCTAATAAAACTAATGATATGAAAAGAGTTTAATTTAGATTTAATAATACTTCAAAAAATCAAATATATATATATATATATATATATATATATATATATATATATATATATATATATATATATTATATATATATATATATATATATATATATATATATATATATATATATATATATATATATATATATATATATATATATATATATATATATATATATATTCTTTTATTGACTTAACTCTATCGACCATCCTACAATCTCAATTGAAAAGGCTGTAGCAGCAAGTCGTGCGAATGGTAGCAAGATTTGTTAAAGGTAGCCACCCCATTTATAACTGATTTGTTAATAGGAGAATAATAAAAGTGTTATTATTCCATTTTATATGATGTTTTATTATTTTTAATTTAATTTAAGACAAATTAATGTGTATTATTATGCAACATGACTATTAGATTATGCAACATAATTATGTATCATGACAAAATAAAAAAACACATAAATCATTTTATAAAGGATCATCGTACTCATAAGCAAATGTAAACTGCGCAAATCGGTTTGAGCGCCGATTATATTTCAAAAACTGTCTTAAGTGCTAACTTATCTATGCGCAGACTTGAATAAATGGAAAACCGCATTTTAACTGCACTAAACGGTTTTAGCATTATTTTCTTCCTGAATGAATAGTGTACGTTTTTTCCAATTAAAACCCAGTAGATGTATTTAGATTTTTCTGCAAGTGTATTTATCTATCAGCTATTCTACCAACTTTAGTATTTTTAAATGCCTGATATTCGCAATTACACAGATTTTCCCTTTTACGATAGTAATTGCAAAACCACTCGGTACAATTACACAAGTTACCACAGCATCATTTTTTATATGACTAGTTTACATTTAAGTAGAGTTGCAATTGTAAAGGTTGCAACAAGTTGTAGTTAACAATTTTTCACTTAAACATCTCCGAAATAATAACGTTTTGATGCTTTGCTCCGTAGAAATATACCTTGTCTTGTAATTATCTTCTTGAATTTTTGACTGTTTTTAAAAAGTTTGTAATCTTATAAACTAACAAATTGTATAAAGTTTGTTAGTAAGATTTTGGAATTTCAGAAAATAAATGAATACAAAGTAAAGGAGAATACTTCCTATTCAACTTTTTAGTTAGATCTCAGTTTATTACGTATTAGTGTTCCTTTCATATGTAATTTAAAATTGTAAAACATTTAGTAGAACAAGCAGAAATTAAAATTACCGTTTTCCCTAAACTAATTAAAATTTTTATTGCGTTCTTCTATTGGTTGCCTTACTTAATACATTTGTTTTTTCTTTTTATTGATACAAGTGTAATTCCCTTTTCTTCCCCGTAGGGGAGGGAAGGTTGCTTTCCTCTTAATTAATAAGTAAACAATTTTTTATATGTATATATTTAAAAGTAAAATAATTTTTTTTTCTATTCAAAAGTAACTTTACTTTTTGTTGCTTAAGGAAACCAGCAAAAAAATCTTTAGCGAAGAAAAATAATTATAAATAATGTAAATTTTAAGTTTAATGATGAAAAACAAGACAATCTTATTATCCAAATAATATTGAATAAACTTTATATAAGAAGAAAACGCAGCTTTTATCTCCTACTTTGCATCTTAAACTGTTTTGCATCTCAAACTGTTTTGCACTTTCAAAGTGTTGTTCAATCTGTTTTTTGATATTTAACAGTTGTTAACGGAAATTTGTTTCTAAATTTTTGCAGTTTTTATTCTGTCTTGCTTACTAAAAAAGAAAAAAACCTATTATAGTTTTATTCTCCTTTTTTTTTAATGGTTTTCTGTTTTATACTTTTTAACTAAAAGCGTACGTTGTCGCTGAAAAAATCCTTATATCAAAATTTGACTTCAAAGTTATAGAGCATCGAAGCTGTGTATTTCGTCGGAATATTTTTGTGTTTCGTCGGTATATTTTATTTTTGTGCTTTATGTTTGATGATACGTCAGAACAAATTTTTAGCTTAAATTATATAATTTAACTCTTTAACTTTATATAAAATGAAAATCTTTATTTATGATTATATTTTTAATTATTTATTTATGTATTTTATCTAAACACACGTATCTATTGCTTTTTTTTATTTCTGTTCTGTGTTATACTTCGGTGTATGCGAATAAAATGTTAATATCAGTAAAAAAAAGTTTACTGCAGTAATGACGAAAATTTTATCAAAAAAAGTTTGATAAATTTTTCGTCATTTGAACTCTTAAATTAAAACTTTTTTTTTATTATTTAAAAATGGTATGTATAGAAACAAAAACTTTGGTGAAAAAATTGCTCAAAATTAACGTGTTAATTTTTTCTTATTTTTAAATCTAATGCTAAAAGGTTTGATTTTATTCTTATAGTTTTGCGCAACGTTGCAGAACTTCAAACGTGTGTAATTTGCGGAATAAATTATAAAAATATTTCAAACATGAATTTGTTTCGATGTTTTTGCGGAACTATTTAATAGCTGAACTTGTACAGCTTCTTGATTTCAGAACTTTAGTTTGAAAAACTCTTGAGACAACACCGTTTAAAATGTTTTATAAAGATCTCACAGTTTTCAACTGAAAAGTTAGATAAAAGTGTTTAAAATTTTTTAAATTTTATTTTAGCTTATTTTAGTATAAATATTTTAACAAATATAGAAAATAAATATTTATAAATGAGGCAATTAAAGGGAAAAGCGACTAAAGAAAATTCTAAAATGAAAAGAGAAAGAAAAGAGGCATTTCGTCAAGGGCACGAAAAAGTTTTTACAATTGCATTGCCAGTATTGTTAGCAATAGCAGCTTTTATTGTGTTGTTTGTAATAATTAAAACGAGCAAAAAACTAGAAGCTTAAGTAAAAACTGTTAAAGCTGAGAAATCAGTTTTGGATGAACAGCAATAATGAATTTAAATATTATTTTTGTATGGAGTATATCATAGAAAAATATAGTATTTTTGTATACTATCAGTTATTTTTTTAAAAATATTTGCAAAAAAATAACTTATAAAACTTAAAAAAATTGATTAGGATATAAATATGATAATCATATTGTTTGAAATTGCTTGACTAGCTATCAATTTAACTGATTAAGATGATGTTTAATATTTTAAATGATATGATATACTATATCATTTCAATTATTGAAGGTCATATTAAAAATTTAAAATTGTTAACAATTTTTATTTCTTTATTATTTAAATTCTTTAAAACAAAGTTTTGATTTAAATTATTTAAATGATTTTCTGCACAATTTTTAATTGTTTTTAAATAGTTCAGTAGTTTATTCAAAATTATTTTACGCAATTACTTTTATACTTGGTTATATTCATGATCAATTATGATAAAAAATTTTATACTGATTAAGAATTCGATAAGAATAACATGAAATCTAAAACAAAAAGAATGTGCTTTAATTTATTTTAAGTTTTAGGAAATCTAAAATTTCAATCTATTCTACATCTTTTAAGCACCATCATGATTAAATTTCTTTTAAAGTATTATGAATTCAAGTGCGACAGTTTTCGATAATAGATTTCAAAATAAGTCACTCATTAAATGCACACATTTAAGAGTGTCTATGCAACATGTTAGTTGTATATAGATTTATTTGTGTCTATCTTATCAGTTACTGCATGTGCATTTATTCTTAACTCTTTGTGCCAGATTTTAAATATATATTTGTTTACATGTTTTTTTATCTCAGTTTTAATATGAATTACTGAATAGCAACACAGTAATGAAATTATTTTCTAATATTTATAAATAACAATAATGTTATTTTTAGTTTTAAAATATATATTTCTAGATTGTTTAAAATAAAAAAGTTTAATTGCAAACAACTTTAGTTTAATTTTTACAGCATTTTATAGCATTTTTTATGTAATTTTCCTGTTTTTAAATTAATGTCAAATTAATTTAAAAACAGGAAAATTATTTTTTGTTTTTAACTTTTGTGTTTGTAACTTTTCATATATGTCATATTTCCTATATATACTTATGCACAAGTTATGAAATTGCCCAGTTATGAGATGTTTCTTTTATACATACATACATATATATATATATATATATATATATATATATATATATATATATATATATATATATATATATATATATATATATATATATATATACATACATACATACATACACGCATAAATTAGTAAAAATAAACATCTAAATTTCTTCTAAAGAAATTTAGATAAGTGTTTTTAATTTATTATTGCTCTTTTTTTTTAAGAGCTTTGAGCACTCTATTTGCAGAACACAGACTTAACTTAGATATACATATATACATACATACATAAATATATATATATATATATATATATATTTATATATATATTTATATATATATTTATATATATATATATATATATTTATATATATATTGCAATAATAATATTCAGAAATGTTAATAGTTTTAAATAATAATAAATTGCTTAAATTTTATGTACAAAAAAAAATTGAGAAAGTCGTTTTTTATTACATTTAGTAGCAACATTTTTTAAAAAAGATTTTAATAGAAATT